GATGGGGACGTACCCTCTTCCCTGTAGCCCTGTTTGCTTCTTTTTCGCTAGAAAGCTTTTTATTTTCTTCTTCTTCTTTTTTTTTTTTTTCTTGGCATGACAATGACACATTCTCCCAATAAACCCAGGAAATTCACAGTATCTTTTCCTCCCAGTGGATGTGAGCCTTGCCCCCCGCCTGCCCGGCTGTGTCTGGCAGGTCCTTGGATTAATTGCACACACTCCAAAGAGGCTGGACCATCCCATTTAGCCACGTGCATTAATAAGAGGATCATTACTTAGCAGTTCAACCTCCTTCAACTCACTCGTCTTCTCCCTGAGGCCGTAAGTGCTCACGAGGACCCCGTGGGCACGCACGCTCGGCAGCTCTTAGTGGGGACCCTCCCAACAGGCTCTTTGCTTTTCCGTACTTCTCCCCAACTTATAAGTCACTTTCGTTCTCCGAGTTGATGCAAAGATGGAATGTGATAACAGTTGGTGGGTGGCTGTCAGAATTGATGGTGGCTTGTGTGGGAAAATGCATAGCGATTTTGAGAGCTGATAGAATCAATTAAAAAAAAAAAAAAAAGCTCTACCTTACAGGGAAAGGTCAAGCCGAGTGTTTTAATTATGACGCTGTTAAAATATATCTCATGCTTGGATGACCTAGGTTTGAAGAGTTGCAAAATCCCCAACTCCATAAAGGGCGTAAAAATAATGTGATCTTTTGGAGGATGACTCAGAATTCTGCAGAGAAGTCAATGAGGTAGGTTGGAAAGGGGAGGGTTGAGTGATCTGGGAGCCAGTTTGGACAAAACCTCTTTCACCTCTGAGCCTAGCATCTTCACCCGTGAAATGATGTACAGTCGGAGGCTTTTGAAAGTTCTGCTACTAAGAAGCACCCCAGGAGGTACTTACTGGAATTATGATTAGCCCCATTTTATGGAGAGGAAATGAAGACTCAAGAGAGATTGAGAATGTTGCCCAAGGTCACAAAGCCTGCAAAGCGCAGCCTGTAATAACTGACTCCACATCTTGGGTGTCTGACAAAGAGAGCATCTATCTGCCTTGCAGGCAACTGAGAAAACAATTAAAATGGGCACCCTTTTCTAGATGCTGGATTAGAGATTTTCAAGGACTGGTTCAAGGCTATCTGTCTAGTAATGGTGGAGCTGGGACGTGAACCCATGACTGTCTGCCACCAAAGTCCAAGGTCTCAGTCATTATGCTAGGTTTCCGGTCACGATGGCAGCCATCACTGTCTCACAGACAGGATGTGATCAGAGAGAATTTAGATTCATCCTCGATGAGCAGCCTAATTCAGGATTACAGGAAGCAGAGCTCAGTGGTTTTGGATTCTGAGATACATCTGACTAACCAGGAGGCTGGCAGGACTCTGGCTTTATCCTAGCACCCAGGACAATGTCCAAGTAAGGACATTAAGTTCGAATCAGCATCCTGCAACTAGGAGGACAGTATAGTAAGTGAGATAAGCCTCGGACAGAAAGGCAGATATCCCATGATCTCATGTATGTGTAGAGTCTAAAATAGCCAAATTCATAGAAGTAGAGGGCAGGATGGTGGCTCTCAGAGGCTGGGGGAGTTGGGAGCAAGGGCCCAGGGAAGGTTTCAGTTAGACAAGAGGAATATGTTTCGCGACCTACAGCACCGCAGGGGGATCACGGTCCTTAATGACGTATTGGATACTTCAAAATAACTGACAGTAGATTTCAAATGTCTCACCACACACACACAAAAATGCTATGCAAGTAAGTGATGGATATGTTAATTAGCTCAATTTAATCATTCCACATTGAATACATATATCAAAACGTCACATCGTACCCCATACATGTATACAATTATGATTTGTCAATTAAAAATCATAGTAATAAAAATCAACATTCTGCAGTTGCTCAAACATGTATGCAAATGCCAAATACCAAGTGCGCGCACCATATTAGAATTTAGTATAATACAAACAAGTCCAAACACAATATATTATCTAATTAAGAAAATATGAACATTTACTATTTTTCTATGGCAAACCTTCTGTTCCATTCTTTGAGCTGGAAGAGCCAACATTAGAGTCTCTTACTTGCTTCGGAGAGTCTCCCTGGGTTGGACTGATAGGCACCAACTGTGCAAAACCGTCTTTCCCGACAGCAGGGAGTTTGCAGAGTAGAAGTTCATGCCTTCCCATGGTCTGTCTTTTATGATTTGTCGGTCGTCACCCTCATTTCCTTTCCCAGGAGACATTTCTGTCTTTGAATCATTCACTAAAAAAGACACAGCACGGACGTGTGCAGCCTCATAGCAGCGTCCAACCGAGGACCCAGGTCATTCAGCTGGGGAGATGCGAGTAACAGTCTTTGAAAGAGGCACCACAGAATCCCAGGCCAAGGCGACTGCTCCAGGGCCTCCAGCCACAGCTGTTTACCTGACAGCCTCAAGACCCAAGGCTTCGTTTCCAAAACGGCATGAAAGAAAAGGCTTCCATACTTTCAAAGTAAAAAAAAAAAATCATTTTCATTACTGTCCATAACGATTCCTAGAAATCATAATAAATGAAAAGCCCTTCGAGGATCTGAAATACATTCTAGGAGTTCTGCATCAACCTAACCCGTTGGGCCTGTTAAGCAGGAGACAGCCACTCACCGGCGTGCGTTTGAGAATCAGGTCTTTGAAAAGATTACTTAGCAAAATAGAAAAATCTCGTCCAAAAGAAGAGATCCCAGAACCACTAGGCAGAACCACCACTGTCAAGACAGCTCATAAATAAGTGTCTGAGGAAAGCCTTCTCAACGCACACCCAGTTTTTAAAACATCCACGCTCAATTTTTAGGTACAATTAAAAACACGGACCAGAGAGCATGGAGATTCACAGATGTATTTCCCATCTTACATACGTCCTCGGAAAGGAATCGTTCCATCTTTGTAGATATTGCACTTTGACTCATTCACATGTTGCTCAAACTGGCATATTTTTAGAGCTTTATGTTTTAAAAATAAATAAATAAATAAATAAATATTTATATCTATGTATATATATTCAGTATAGGTAGCCTTTGGTCAATGTTCATTCATAAGGGGGTGCGGTGGAGCTGCATCGTACGCACATTTAATGAACATGTATTCAACTACACATGCTTGGCAAAGAAATGCAGCTGGAGGGACATGGGGGGGCTCTGCTCACCCCCTCTCCATTCCAGGAGATGTGCCTCGGGGAGCGAGTGAGAAGGGAGAGAGGAGTCTGCTTGTCTACTTGAAACCTCTATGAGTGGGACTGTCTTGCCGCACCAGAGGGTCCTAAAGTTCTCAGACACTTTGGAACCAACAACAGGGGACCTAAACATGAGCCAACTCTGTTTTGTCTTCAACCAAAGAACCAGCAACCTGTTCCCATGCTGGAGAAGAACTTAGCTGTCTTAGGTTTGGAAAGGGATGGCGTATGGTCTCCAATGTGGCTCTTTCCCAAGGACTTCGCCCAGGTAACTGGGTGTCCTGGGTTTTTGTCCTTAGAGTCTATCCCCAGGGCCTGGTGAGACTCCACTGCTATGACTTAAAACAAGCGGGAGATAGAATCATTAGGGACCGATAGGACCCCAAATTATATTTAGTTAGTTTTGAGGGCCTTGGCTGAAGTTTGGGGCCTCTCTACACCATTCATTTTTTTTGCAGACTCCCTTAAAAAGAGACGGTCTTCCAATTTAGGGACAACATGCGGTAAAAATCCAGCCTAAAGATCCTAGTGTTCCAGATGGACTCACTGCTTTTTGTTTGGTCACCAAAAATATCATGTGATTCCCAAACCATTTTGGAAGATTTCTCCCAGAATAGGGGTGAACTCAAATACTGGAGATCTGTGAGAGAAGGTTTAAAAAATGCAAAATGAGAGGAACTTCAGCTCAGATTTCCCTCCTAAAACACATCCCAGGGCACAGAGGGGTCTAGTGGAATCAAGTATATATACGTGCGCACGAGTAAGTGTGTGCACACAGTGATCCTTCTCGGAGAAGCTTCTATTGGTTGCGTTCTAGAAGTGTTCTTGCCTTGGACAGGCAAGGGGAGAGTAAAGAAATAAATCCATACTGCATCATTTTGCAAAGAATCTGGATTAAATGGCTTTACTGAGAACAGGTGTCACCCTTTTGAGCCACATGTTTTTAAAGGACAGACAAGCAGCTAGTGCCAGCACCTGTCCACATCAACTGTGTCTGCCACGGTGGCCTGGGGATGGGACCTGAGGATGGCTCCTTTCGTACCTGGGGAGCTACCGTTCCTGACCCTGGAATATTACATTCAGTTAGGAACTTCATCAAATCAAACAACCTGGTGAGGGGTTCAGCGAGCAAGCGGGCAGGGCTGGTGACTCTACAGGCGGAGGCCCCTCTAGGGAGCCATGTGGCACCACGACAAGAAGCGATTGGGAGTAAAGGGACCGTTCACAGCCGACACAGGGATGGATTGGAACAATGGCAAGAGTGGGCTCATTTTTTTTGTATTTCTGGGCTCAAGAATTTCCTCCTTCCTCCCCACACACCAGGCAGGGTCTTTGTTTTGGAGGAAACAGATAAAACCTATACATTATGGCAGATAGAAAACTGAACCTTAGACCCCAGGTCTAAGGGGCATAGTTACATTGGTTTGGAGCCTCCCCGCGGGGGGCTCTGGACAAAGTTCGGAAGGGATTCAATGTTCCCCTGTCCCCCATGGTATCATCTGCAGCCGGGGTGCCAGGGCTTCTTCAAGACCACAACCCTCTCTAGGACAAAGGGCACCTTGGAAAAAACTCTCAAATCAGTCAGCATGGGTAGCCTTCTGGGCATGGCCCAGGGGAGCGATGGATGACCTCCGCTCTCGGAAGGAGAGCTTAGACGTGGCCACGTGCTACCATGGCTCGGGGTGTCACACAAATGAGTGGTTCCCAGTGATGGTGGATGGTGCCGGTGCTAAATCACAGACTATTTCTCTACTGTGGTCCTCACTGGTCACAGGATGATGGCACAACTTCCAACAGCATCTCCAAACGGGTAGGAACTTTTGCTGTCGACGTGATTTTATTTTTGTGGAAATGAGTGCACACAGAAAAACGAGATTCATGCTTTCCTTTCTTCTTCTCTTCCGTCTCTCTCTCATCTGCCACCCTGAGAGTTCCTCAGTCTGTGGAGACAGGAAATCAGGTTAGCACTCTTAAGGAGACCTGTTCAGCCAGAGGATGGGACGCCCTCCCATCGGGAATGGATCACACAGAGGCACTCGGTGCCAACCCAGGGGGGTGTCAAGGGGAGACTTTTATAGGTTTTCCGTTTTTGTCGTACTGGTATACCAGCATCTTGATACAGTGGGAGTTGGCCGGCGAGATCCAGGGACTACTTGTTATGGAAAAGTTATGGTTGGTGTAGAACTGCACAGGCTGCTTCTGGCACTTGAAGAAGGCCTTGAGCGTGGCGGCCGCCATGGTTCGGAACCGCTTGCTGATGAAGCAGTAAAGGAAGAAGTTGATGGCCGTGTTCAGGAGGGCCAGCATGTTGGCCACGTCGGACATGATGTGCACCAGCCAGAGGTTCTGGATGGGCGTCCCGTAGAGGTGGTAGAGGATCACGATGATGCGGGGGGCCCAGAGCATGGCGAAGATGGAGGTGATGGTGAACAAGATGGCGGTGGTCTTCCCAGTGGAGTAGCCACGGAGGCGAAAGTTGCTCTTCCTCCTGAGCTTGTACACGATGATGGAGTTCAAGATGAAGAAGATGGAGCAGGGCACCAGGTACACGGTGAAGCAGTGTACCCACACCAGGACGTGGTGCACGGAGGTGCTGATGTAGTCCTCGGTCCAGATGTTGGGCCACCAGTAGTAGGGGATGCTGGTCAGGAAGCAGGTGACGTAAACGCTGACAATGACCTTCCGGGTGCGGGCCGGGTAGGAGACGGTGTGGTATTTGAGCGGGTGGCAGACGGCGATGTACCTGTCGATGGTCAAGGGAACCGTGATCCAGATGGAGGTGTGGATGGAGGTGAACTCCAGGACTTCGATGATCTTGTCGGGGACCTGAGGCATCTGCATGTGCAGGATGAAGTCTTCCAACAGGAAGTCGACAAACACGATGAAGAAGAGGACCAGGATGTCGGCCGCGGCCAGCGCCAAGAGATAGTTGTAGGAGGACTTCTGCCGCCTGGCCACTAGCTGCGAGAGGATGATCACCGTCAAGATGTTTGCTGTGGATAAAAAAGAGAGCCTGGTTGATCTTTGAGGCACAGATGATTTTGCTGGGTACCAGGGAAGCCCTGGGCATGACGTTTGTCGGGATGGAGGTCCAAGGACTGAACAACCTCTGCGTGACAAACTGCACCTACTGTGAACATCTGGATGCTCTTTTGTGTTTTTTGGGGGGGACCAGGGATTGAACTCAGGGGCACTGAACCACTGAGCCCCACCCCCAGCCCTATTTGGTATTTTATTTAGAGACAGAGTTTCACTGAGGTGCTTAGGGTCTCACTTTAGCTGAGGCTGGCTTTGAACTTGCCATCCTCCTGCCTCAGCCTCCTGAGCTGCCGGGATTACAGGCGTGCGTTGCCACGCCCGGCCTGGATGATATTTTAGAGTTAGTTTATTCTTCACACAACCATGAGACGAGGTGTGGCCATTATCCTAATCTGGAAGTGGAGCTTGGGCTCCCAGAGCCAAGTGTCATGTAGTTGTCAGTCACAGTGACAGGAACCAAACCCAGATCTCTAAGCCCCAACGCTCTGCTCTTTCTTTTCTCTAACTGCACGGAGAATCTGGGGGTCTTTTCCCTGCTCTCTGTGTTCAGGTGGCAGCCCGGGTTCCAGGAGTTCATGAGACCCTCTTTAGAGCTTAGATTTTGGTTCTTTTCCTCTTTAAGTGGATTTAGAATGAAAGGAGAAGGGATGGTCATGACGTTCAGATCCATTTAAAAATGAATTATTTAAAAATAAATTAGCCAGGCAGTGTAAGCCCAGCTACTTGGAAGGCTGAGGCAGGAGGATCACAAGTTCAAGGCCAGCCTGGGCAACTTAGACCTGTCTCCAAATAAAACATAAGAAGGGTTGTGGATGTAGCTCAGTGGTAGAGCACCCCAGGGCCCTGGGCTTAATCCCCTGTAGCACACATGCAAAAATTGATTCTGGGGACAGGTAATTTATACCCATGTTGCATAATAAAAAATCATAGCAGAGTGATGTAAATTTCCCTTTCACTCTGGTTCTCCAACCATCCAAGTTCTATTTCCTCGGGGCCATCACAGTTCATAGGTGATCTGAGGGCACACATGTCTGTCTGTCACGTAGTTATACAGTTGCATAAATAGTAACTGCATTTTTTTCCCCCTTGGGTCAGATTTGTGTTGAAAAGTGCATCCACACAATTTCTGGTTGGGCTTAAAAACAAATGTCTTCCTGAACAGGACAGGGAGACATTTAGAAAACCACTAGGGACTTACTCCAAGATAACATTTCAGGGGGTAATACCCGCAGCTGCTCTGTGTCTTGCATTCCCACCGACAGCCCTGGAATTGAAACACGGTTAATCCTGTTTTGCAGACAAGGATCTTGGAGCGCCCACATCCTCTGCATGAGGCCTGGTGGCAAAGCTAGGACCCGGCCTCTCTCTGGGGATCCACTTAACTATTCCACGGTCTTGCTCACATGAAGATATCTTACGATCAACGCACCCACCCGCTGCACTGTGCTCATCACTTGGCTTAAACAAACTTGAACATTCTGCTATATTTGCATCAGCTCTTTAATATAAAGGGATGATGCTCTAGGTACAGTTGAGGGTCCTTGAAATGGTCCATCCCCGTTCTTCCCTCCTTCCCTCTTTCTCTCCCTGCGGGCTGTGGGCTGCGGGCACTGTGTGACGGTGGAGGGCCACCCTGGCCAACTGGGTCTCTCCCTCACCCTCGCCTCTGCCATGCCACACACACAGCGTCTTCCGTTCCCCAGCGTGTCTCTGAGCCTCGTTATGCTGAGTTTGCTTGTTGTAACAGTTATACAGAGGTTCACTGTATGAACTCATTGCGATTTATTCATGAATACGAATTATTTATAATTTATTATATCGACTATATAAATTATATAAAATATATTACATCCAGTTTATTTTCTCAAGTATATAAAATGCAAATAAATATAAACTTACTATAGCAGATATATTTATTACATCAAATACATATTTATTATAATATATATATCTATGACACTAAGTTGGATCCAGGGTTTTGCTATTGTGAACCACTGTAGTTATGAATATGACTCTTCATAGAAGTGATTTTATTCGAGAGCTCTCTGGGTAGCGTATACCTAGAAGTGTGTTATGTTTCTGAGTGTGCACATCTTCATCTTTAGTCGATATTCATTAAGAATGAACTGTACCACTGTACCTGGAACCCCAGCAGCTTGGGAGGCTGAGGCAGGAGGATCGCGAGTTAAAAGCCAGACTCAGCAACAGTGAGGCGCTAAGCAACTCAGTGAGACCCTGTCTCTAAATAAAATACAAAATAGGGCTGGGGATGGGGCTCAATGGTCATGTGCCCCTGAGTTCAATCCCTGGTACCCACCCCCAAAAGAATGAGCGGTAAAACTACTTGGCTAATTGACACTCTTGACACCAGCGTCTGAGCATCCCATCTGCTCTGTACCACCCAGTAGTTGGCCTCCTCAGTTCCTTTTCCTTTTTGAAGCCTGTGTTGTTCTTGCTCTTATCTGAAGCAATTTGAAATGACATTTTGAAGTGGTGAGGAGTCAAGGGACTGGTGCTATTCATAAGCCAGGATTCAAACCCAGGACCTATACACCTGTTCCAAGCTGTGTTCAGTATGGATATTTATCCACACAGGCCCCGTGCCCTCTGTTGGGTTTGTCACCCTGTACCCACCGGAGGAAAAGCGTGAGTGTGTGCTACTTCAAGTCACTACTGCAGATAGAGGCCCATGGAGGTAAAGTAGTTTATATTGGTACCCTGACAGTCCAAGCATTGATTTTTGCATTCAGCAATGTGTCTGTGTCTGCTCTGAGCTGAGCCCTGGGAAGAGAGGGTGAACAGAACAGACGTCGTCCGCCCGGCCTTCATGGACTTAGAGTCCAACAGGGGAGAGAGACATCAACAGACGAGTCATAGAAGGATATGCACAACGTGGATCTAGAGTAAGTGCCAGGAAGGAATGTCGGGGAGCAGTGTCAGAAAAGGTTTTGCTGAGGGATTGATGTTCGAGCTGAGATTGGGGACAAGTAAGAGGTAAATGGGTGAAAAGCTGGGAACACCAGGGGGTTCAAGCTAAGAAACAGCATGCAAAGGCCCGAGGTGGGGGGAGCAGGAAGCGTTGGGTTTATTAAGGCCGGGGACACTGATATTGATTCCTGCTTGCTCTGTAAGCATTTTTGCATTTAATAGCTCTCTTTTATTAAACAGCCTTGCTGTGTTCTGTTGAAAAGCATTTCAAGATGTTTTATTCATCCAGAAATTCTTTCACAAAGTATTAAGCGTCTCTCTTGTGGGTAAGGATCTGTGCACAGGCTGAAGGTGGACACAGGCTAGTAGCGGGACATTCATGGTGTCCAGTCAGAGAGCGCAGGGGTTGCATGCGGGCGGCTGAGGATTCAAGATCAGAGCTGCGAGTGAGCAGTTCAGAGTGAAGGGCAGAGGCTTCGGAGGAGGGTCTGGGTTCAAGGTCTGGCTGCCAGGTCCTGCTTGCTCTGACCTGATCGCATACCGTTGGAGCTTCCTGGAAACCCAGCTGTAAAATCAGGTGTGAAGCCCCCGTCGTGCCCCAGAAGTGTGGGGTCTGGGGTGGGGCCGTGTGAGGTTCGCTCCTGGCCCTCCTACTGACTGGCTCTTTGTGGGCAAGTTTATTTAACATCTCTGTGCCTCAGTTTCCTTATTTATAAAATGGGGCTAACGAGACTCCCCACTTCATAAGGTTTCAGATGAAAAAAAAATCAAAGGAGATAGTTTTTGTCATGTGGTTAGAACAGCTCCCAACCTGTGGTTAGGTGCCCACTGAATGAGCTATTGAGTGATGTCCCTTCACTCAAATATTAATTGGGCATTGACTGTGGTAGGTGTTGTCCGAGGTGCTGAAGACGCATAGCACAGCGGACAAGTTGCCTTTTGTCATGGGGAGATAGATCTAAGTAAATAAGCCGTCACAAAAATAAGTGCACAAGAGAATTTCCGAGAGTGATACCATAAAGAGGAAAGTCAAAGGAGGAGAGAAGTTGATGGGGGAGCCATGTTTAGAACAGGAAGTTTGAGTTCAGTCGGGGATGAGGAGAAGGGATCTACCATGGTGGGAAGGATTCTTAGCAGTGGGATAGCAAGTTTTCTACTTCCCAGATGAGGAACCCGAGACCTGGCATTTTAGGTAATTTGCCCAACGTCACACATTGAGCACGTGGGGGAAGAGGGATTTCCAGCTTAGGGTGATTTTGTGGCCTATCAAATTCTGCCTTGCTTATTTCTGGTTATAGGAAAGGATTCTCAGTAGGAGATGAGTGATCCCTGTCCCCTGGGCCGCCCCTGACTTGGAAACCTGCCATCATTTCTCAGAACCTCTTGTTTACCTGTCCATCAACAATGCCCACATGCCCTCTCATGTCCCCCAAGCCGATAAGGGGGCAGAGATAGATAAATGTTGGGGGTCTCCAAGGAAAAGTGCTCTCTCTATCCTACATATATATTCTACCTATGCAGAGAGTGGCTTCGCCACCGTCTCCTCCTCCCCAGCTGAAGCCTGTTGGAAATGTGGTGCTAAAAATTCTCCATATCAAAACTCTTTAAAAATATTCCAGCCCCACCTAATGAATTGCTTTAAGTCAGAGAGTCATCAGCTGCTCAGGAAATTGCCAGGTATTCATGTTTGACATTTCCTGAGGTTTCTAATCCTTGCCTCTCCTGAGAAACCAACCCAAAGACACTGAGTCGCCCTCTTCTTTTGTTCAGGTAGCTGCCCTGACCCCAGGGCGATATCAAGAATGCTAGGAGACCGGGCAATGGGGGAGAGTGGGGTGAGCTGCACAGAGTCAGGGGGATGTGTGGATTGTCGGAAGAAGAAACGAGAGGGCAGAGACTTTGACTGGCTGTGACTCCCCACATCAAAAAAGAAAAAAAAATATCCTTTCATTTCCACACTGGCACATTTTTCCCCAAAGAGAAAGACTGGTGTGGCCCAGGACCTGTGTGTATTTACAAGGGTGAG